GAGGATGCAAGTTTGTTGGCTTTAGCAGGTATTTGTATGCTGTTACTACTAGGATTTAGGTTTGCACCACTAGATAACAACTTGTTGATTAAACTAAAAGTATAAAGTTGATCAGACTCTCCTGTTAGCTTCAACTTTGTCACCTCAATTTATTATTGTAAGTTCTAAGATCTCAAATATATGTACAACTGGAGGTTCTTAACGTGCCAAACACAAACTTTTAAGGCAGCCAGGTAACATTAGCTTAAGCTAAATTAGCCTTTTTGTTTCTGTACATGTGTAGTGATTCTTTATTCAGAGTACAAAGCAGGGACAAACCCATTCAAATGCTCAAAGCTGTTCTTTCAGGCTGATCATCTTGACATCACCGTTCAAGTCCCGCTCTGCCTCCATCATTATCAGAAACCGCAGAAAATACAGTTTGAATAAATTACCAGAACAAATGTCGTCAAAGTATTGTGGGGTCACATTATATAGACTTTTTCATTGAGTTTATTCAGTCTTATGTGATTCTCTCCTCTAGTGATTCCACAATCAGCGTGGTTTTGTGTTCCCTCTCAAAGTAGAAAATCTTAACCACTTTACCACAGCCGCTCCACTTTACCGCCAGCATTTATGTGAAGAACGTAATTCTAAACCAATCGAGCTTAAATCAACATCGGTCTCTTCGCTTCCTCTCCAAGTATTGCATCAAGTGCATCAGTGAATACCTGAGAGGCCACAGTGGTTTCACATAAGAACGTATCACATTTTCAGCGCGTTCGTGACGTCAAAGGCCCAGTGGAAGTGATATAAAGGGCCATTTAGCAGAGCTTTCAGAGGCCTCTTTGAGTTTTGATTTTACTATTACTGAGAAATGCATTTAAGCGCGACTGTGACTGAGGAGCGTTAAATACACTGTTGAACTGAAGAAGTTCCTCGTTTATAAGCCTCATTAGTGGGTCTGTCGATGCTTTCTGTGTGAAAAATGTTAAATGAGTCATTTCGTAACATTTCTAAAGTGACTGCCCATCATCATCCGATCCCCTTTTATCTCTGTACGTGTGTGTTTTACCTGTATTTGAGCATCGATCAATCTTTTTCTGCTTCGAGCTCATGTACATCTTATGTAATTAGCTGGAATCCCTCATAGACAGACAGACAAAATGCCAAATTAGCAAAGTGTTTCATGTTTTTTGTAAAAACTTTACTTGAATTTCAATCAAAAATGCAAAATATGGAAACATTTCAAGTATCAAATTAAACAGAATTAACCTCAATCATTTTCCAAATAGGATGAGCACATTTGAGCATGATACAAACAGTCAGATCTACACAAATGGAAGATTGATAGTGCATCAAAGCATGTGGTTTCCAACTGACTACAAACATGTATCAGTTTAAACTAATTAACACCATCATGAAGGAATAAATCATTCTTGGAGTGGTGCACGTTGCAATAGAGGTGTCAGTGATTCAGTGCCATTTCTGTTCAAGTGTACGAATCCAGTTTAGAGCTTTAATGACATTATTATTCTTACTGTTGGATGAATATTGAACATGCAGCACAAAACTGGAATGAGAAAACAAAAAATGCTTAAAATTGCCATCTTCCACATTTTGCAGTGCATGTGTTTGTACTTTTGCGACGATTAAACTGAGAGTTTTCAAAGATAGTTCACAAAAAATTATTCGTTGTGTGTGTGTGTCAGGCATAATCTTCAGAAGCTTTGGCTGTTCTCCTCTTCCACTGGCCTGCTCCGGGCAATTTCCCTACATCTGCTACTGTGTGGCTCTCAAGGGGATATCTCTAAAAACCACTCACACACACCGACAACAAAATTCTTGTGCATCGTGTCCCAGTCTGTACATGGAAACTCACAGGGGGGTTTGTTGTTTGTGGGCGGCGCTGCCCAAGGCTTCATTAGTATCTGTAAACAAGTTTAAAAGAGAACAAATCATCATCAGCAGACGGGCCTAATTGCTGTTTTGTATTCTAAAAGAGAGAGATGACATTATCTTTGACAAGTGAGAATATATTGTGAGATACAGATTTGCATTTTTGGAATATTCAGGGTTGTTTTTCCGTCTGTGAGCGGCTGACCCCAATTAGTTTATGCAAACAAAACAGTGTCCGTACCATCACAGCATTATGAATGTTGTTTCTTTTATTCTGACACGTTTACTGTTGGTGGTCCTGCCGGACTGAGGAGAGCCTGACTTGGATTAAATCTCACATAGAAGAATGAAACAACAGAAACAAAGTCAGGTGGCCTATTGAACTGACAAAGTCCTGTACTAGAAGGTCATATAGCTGTGACCTGACAATGGTCAATAAATTAAACAGCATTTACGTGATTCTGAGTTGCATCCTCATTGGAATTCTTCTCCTGCTCCCAGTAATGGAGGGAGGGACGTATCTGTTGTATATGTGTACAAATGTCATGAAGCAACACACCAAAACGTAACTTTTAATACATTACTTGTATTAGTATGAGTGACACTGATGTGTTAGACATAAGCAATCAACAGTTAAAATTCAAACTAAATACCCTCTGATTAACTGATGTGTTTGTTGTTTTGTTTTGTTTTGTTTTTTAGGGCTGATACTGATTATTAGTGATCAAGGAGACCAATATTTAAAATTGATAAAAATTCATAAAAATGACAATCCTGGTGTAAAAATTTAGAAAAATACAAAATCCAGCAAAAAAACCAAAAACAAAACTATATTGATACATGTTTCTGTTTATGTTCTACATATGTTTTAAAAAGAAAACTTTGAATTTTTATTTTTTCGCGATGGTAGGCTAATATTTGTTGCATGTAGTTAATCAGATAGTGTTGTGGGCGGGACATTGCTAGAGATAGAAAGAGGCAACTGCATCTGAGCCAAAGTAGAGCACTTTTAAATGAATTTATTTTATTGACAATCAGCTTTTATGTTAATGACAATGACAATAACTTGTAAAATGCTAAACATTGGAGTCAATAATCGGTTTATCCCGACTAAACAATGCCCTCTGAAACTCTGGGTTAGAGATATGGTATCAGTTCTACTAAACGTAAAGTCCATCAGGAACAACTCTTCCAAAAATCTAGATATTTTTTCAGTTTTTACTTATTATTGGTACTTATATTGACGAGTCATGACGGTGTCAGTTCTATGTGCGGTTGTGGTTCAGGTGGATTTTCCTCTGATTGCAGGGTTGGTGGTTCAATTCCCAGTTGTGACACATGTCCATAAAAATAAATCAAACGTGTGTAAGTGAGTTCAAAATATTTGTGCTGTGGGATGTATTTGTGAATTAAGTTAAATGTTTTAAAATCCTGATTTTTTTGACTTATATATAAAAAAAAAAAAAAGTTTAGCACTGATTCTAGACACACATTTTTTAGATTGTTCAGTCAGCACATACAGTCATGTTTTGGCTGCTGTCATATTTTTTCCAGAAATGTTATAGTTGTGACTTGTGCGAAGTGGTGACTGGATATTCATCTGGAGCTTCAGTTTGCTGAGTAGCACAGGAATGTCTTGTACTAGTATTCAGCTTGTAATGTCAATAGTCATTACAACGGAAAAGAGATTTTTATCAGGGAATCAGCATAGTTGCCTTGTTTAGTTTCACTATGTTTAATGACACCCTCTGAATATTTTAACTTGCATGGTGCTTCAGAGAACAAGCAGGAAGAGTGACGAGGAAGGTTTTTCCCATGACGCTATATTACAAACAGCCACTAGAGGAGGTAGGAGACAAACACATGACTTGGTTCCAGAGAAGTGCTCAGTCACATGTTGTGTTTAGGCAACACACAAAACCACAAATATGCTCAATCACTATCAGATGAACGGCAACTAACAATGACAAAACGAGAAATCCCCAGCCCTAATGACATCCCTCCAAAACAAAAATATTGCCCGTTTATTAAATTCGCCACCACGCGCTGGAACACGGCGCTCCTCCAGAGAGCAGCACAAAGTTGATGTTTCACAAGCGGTTCGGAGTCACTCCTGCCAATCTGCACTTCATTAAGCTGATTGCTTGCCTGTGTAAGCTACTTGCTTTGGCTGCCAGTTCCCTCAGCCTGCCTGCCTGCCTTCCTGGCCTCTCCGCCTTGTTCTGATTAAAGAGGAACCTCATAAATACGCTGCTGCCCATAAACGATTTCCTCGTTACATCAAAGTCACACGGAAGTTGTAAGCTGCTTTTACAATTGCAACAAAGTGCAGGCACCACACACCATCAAACTCACCCCGCAGCTCTGTGGCGCTAAGCCGGACGGGTCTGGTAGAATTTGGCAACAGTGGTCATTAATATTAAGGTTAATAAGGCGGGAAGAACACGAAGCTGATGAGAATAAGAGCAGAGACATGGGAGTGAATGTTAGTAGGTGAGCAAACCAGTGTTGGCTAGATCACATTTTTACCAATCATCACCTCTCCCACAAGCAAATTAGAGGATTATTATGGATTATTTCCAGTTAAATAAACAGTGACTGCCAGTACTACTTCTTCCCAGTGAGCTTCAGAAGTTTAAAGATTTGACAAAGAAGTAAAATTATAGGCATCGGTTACAGATTCTGGTGAGATCAATGTTGTTGTGAGTTGTAAAACCCCAGCATTAGTCATTCGTGCATTGTAACATGCATACAAAACCAAATTATTCAAGTGTATCTTAGCTTTATGGTGGGAAAAGAAAAAAAAGAAAAGTTTGACCAGTGTGGTAAATGACAGCTCAGTAATAACGGGAACTATCTGTGAAGTTGGATAATTTACGAGTATCATTTATGGTTTGTCAAACATTGCCTTGAACTAACCACTGTCTGATGGGAAACACAGACGTGGGATTAAACCACACAAACACACACGCACAAAGAGCTGCTATATTTGCAAAGGGCTGAGCGAGAAGAAAAAGGAATAGCAGCTGGTTGCTTTCGCTTAAATATTGCTCGAGATGTCGTAGCTGCACTTGTTTACATTTTGCTACTTTTATTTTTCACATAAAATGAAATGGCGTTGCTTTGAAGGAAACAGTCTGAAAGGCTTTAATTAGTTTGTTCAATGATAAAACATAGGGGTGGAAAACAATATATCTATACACACATATATATATAAACTGCATAGCACAATGTAGGCCCTTTCAAAGGGACGCTCAAGGAAGAAATATAAATACACTTTTGGTCAGAAGATTTGTACCATATTCTCATAAATACACAACGTGAGGCATTCATACATTTCCAGCATCGTATTTCAAAAAGAGAATAAATATGTCTCCGCTCTATAAATGTGTTGCAAAGAAAATGAGGGAGTGATGAAAATGCTTTTATTGCTACGAGATAAAACATTAACAAAGTTTTAATTACAATGGCGTAAAGTTTTCATTGCGACGAACAATTAGAGGGTTAAACCTGAAGACACCACAAACCTGACAGTATTTCAAGGCAGACACTTTTTTGCAAGAATGGATTTTCTTTTCTTTTCTTTTTTGAAAATGCTTCAGTGATATGTTTTAATCTGGCCTGAGTTGCTGAAACACCCATTCATCCACACAAGTGTCTTGATTTTAAGGCCCTTTTTTTTATTTATTTTTTTCCAGCACGAGGCGCTGTATCTGATGAGGAGCAAGGCTTAATAGAACAGTTGTAGTCTGTTTTGGTGCCCAGTGCAAGTCCTCGCCCAGCTCAATTATTGCAGAAGTAAACAAGTGAAGAGTATAAACAGCTGGACAGTAACACCCCTCCTCTTATAGACAAGTCATGTAAACAGGCAGTCCGAAGGGGCAATGGAGGAGGGTTTGGATTTTTTTTTGTCCTCAATGTGGGAAAAAAAATAGATATTAAATTTGACTTGAAGTGCTCGTAAAGCTGATTCAAACACCTCTTGTGCAGTAGATATATTATAAACATAGATTGTTAAGGACCACACGTCCTCTGTGTCCATTTTTGGGAATCCATGGAAACACATTTCACCAAAGTCTGTGTGATATTTCCGCTTTTTTCTTTTCTTTTTTTATGATAAGTGGTACATGCTGTAGCCCAGAGGAGCGGCGTACAGTCCCAATGGTGAGATGGGCAGTATGGGTCTGTGGTGGTGATGGTAGGCCGAGTACGACTGTCCGTACAGTGACATGGCACCCAGAGAAAGCGGTAACGTAAAGCCGGGGTGTAAAGCTCCTGCGGCGGCGGCTGCCACCGCTGCTGTCTTGGCATCAGCAGCCATCTTGAGTTTCTCCAACTCGGCCTCCTGGAGCCTCTTGGCTTTTGCCCGGCGGTTCTGGAACCAGATCTTCACCTGGGTCTCCGTCAGGGTCAGGGAGGAGGAGAACTCGGCCCGCTCTGCGATGGACAGGTACTGCTTCTGCCTGAACTTCCTCTCCAATGCCAGCAGCTGAGATGTGGTGAAGGGAGTGCGCGGCTTCCGGTTGGTCTTGTGTTTCCTCAGCTGACAGGCAGGACTGACATGACCTGGGGGAAAGAGACGAGCAAGATTAGAAAATGAGGATGAAATTCGTAAATGTACACAATCATTTGGCTTTCACAGCATTTGATTTGATTTAGTGTGGACTGAGCAGCCACAGATGATTAGTTGAACTTATAAAAGGATCTTACAGTCTACATTTCATGAATGCCACACATTTTGATCCTTAGGCTACATTATTAGTAACAGAATAATCACTTTATCCTTTCATCTACCTCATGCTTATCATTTACTGTCCAATAGGAGGCAGCTTCCAGAGAGTCATGCTTCAGCAAACTGAAAAGTTTGTCCTTTTCATCACATTCAGGCTCAAACTTGAAGGTAACTCTGATATGCAGGCTGCAGAATAGTAATAAATAATAATAATAAACGATTTCCCTTGTGGATTAATAAAGTTTATCTAAGTCTAATAAAGACAAAACATGCTGACCAAATTACAAAATCATTAGTAGAAATATGACTTACGTGGTTGTGTGGAAAACGCGCTGCTGGTGACCCAGTGTGCGCAATCCTCTGACTCTGACGCCTCCGACTTTACCGGCGACGAGGGCGCAGCCGTCAGGCTGTTCCGGCTTCCCCCGGGGGGACTGCACGTCCCCCGACAGAGATACAGAGAGTTTAAACCGGTGGGGGACGCCGCCACCGGACTTCGTTTCGGTTCGCAGCAGGCGGACTCTGCGCCGCGGCTGTCCGTCTTCCTCCCGGACATGAGCGCCTCCACGCTGAACGGGTGATGCCGACGCGCCGCGGGAGACGGACTCTTCTCCTCCGGCAAGTCCGCACGGCTACTGTCCTCCTCGGACGAACTGCTGCACCCCAAGTCGTTAAAAGTGTCCTGGGAGGCCATTTCTCCCTGCACGTCTCCTCCGAAAAGGAGAAGGGGAAAAAAAAAAAAAAAAAAAAAAGCAGGTGAACTTAGTCCAGACTGCAGTCAAAGGGCAGCCGGCTGAAACTCGCTCCGGTGTGCGCAATGTTGTGAGCTGTCAAGTTGTAGGCAATGTGGGAGTATGTAGACGCAGCATGTTGACACGGCTCAACTTTGACCAATCACTGCTGCCCAAAATGTTTATGAGTGCGCACATGCTGCTTTCAGGGAGTGTAGGAAAGTACTGACGTTGCTTGTGTTGTTTCTGAGGAGTTGCAGTGCGACAGAACCTCCAAAAAATCACTAATAAACATTATTACTAGACAACGATTAGAGTACATGAGATATGTTACTATCCTGTGTGTAGGTCACCAAACTATTGTGCACTTTGATCTCATTTTGTGAGTCTAAGTTCCCTGATTTAGGAATTTACAGAGGTTAGTGAAAGCAGCAAAAGTCCCCCAGGGTCACTGATGTGGTCCAAGTAGGTCTTTCCTCCCCAAATGAATCTAATGAATGTTTAAATCAGTTTATTTCATTCAGGACGAACGACAACAAAATCATACAAGAGTGATCATTCTTGAGCAAAAGTTTCACGTCTGTCAGCTGTTTCTTCAAACCCAAATCTTCAGTGAATTAAGTAACATTTTCCAGATGTTTGTTTTGTACAGATTTTTGGTTAACTTTCATTCTGCATAAATGGAGATATCAATACAGATTGCCCTCATGTCGCCTCTTTGGTCTGTGGAGTAAATTCAGGGAAATGAGCTGCAAAAATAATAGCTGTGCCGCAGCATTATCACATGTTAAGCTTCAGTAATGGATTAGCTCTAACTCTAACCTCATGAGACTGCATGTGTAAACACGGGCCCCATGCAGATAATTATGGAGAATTATACCCGGGATGAAACACTGATCCCTTTCTTCTTTATCTCTCTCCCTGATTTGTTTGGTGTTCTCTTTATTGGGACTTTCCATTGTAACTTACAGTGCTATTGTGCTGCTTGTGTCAGACGGGCATTTCTAAAAGGGTGTCACACTCAAATTACAGAGTAAATTGCTTGACTAAATTACAGATTTAGTTGTTAAAAATCTTTCCCTCGGTCCAGCTGGTGTCTGAGGCGCGACTGGACGCAAACTTGATTAGACGTTCACATGTCTCTCTCCGGCTGACTCATTCATCTCCTTCGTCCTATGATTCAATCCCATTCACTACACACGTTAGACTTGAAGTAACTCTTTGTGATTCTTATGAAATAACTCCTCGAGATATTTCCGTGGACAATTTGGCGTTTTGTTGGATGAAAGTGACCATCTCTGGACACTTGTTCCAGCCATTTATCGGAATAAACGCTCCTTTGATAGTGGTTGGAATATTTTAAACTGAAAGGATGTCTGACTTATTTGAAGATTTTTTTATTTTATTTCTTTCCCATGGTCATGCTTGCTTAAGTAATTTCTTATCTGCTGCCTGATTGCTCATATTTAACACCCGGGCCATTGCTAATTCTGTGGCTGAATGCTAATTAATTGTATTTTCCCATCACAAGGTCTGATCCAGTCATATTCTGCTAGTGGTTAAATGAGTGTGTTTGGTTTTTTCTTGTGTGTGTGTGTCATACACAGCAGTGCTTCACAGGAATATGTTGTCTTTCATAATGTTTTTCTTAAAACTCACCGATGGCAAAAGGAAGTCCCACTTAAGAACTTCAGAGAGACATATAGTTCACTACTGTGCAGCGATATTTCATTTTCAATATAGCCATTCTTTTTAAAAGAATCCCCTTTCTTGTTTTTTTTTCTTCCACCATCCCTGAGGATATTCATTTACAGTAAATGTTGTACTTTTTTCCTCTCTCTCTCTATATATATATATATATGTATTATTATTTTTTATTTTTTTTTAGGTGTAGCCAGCAGGCCTGAGTAGCTCGTCTATGTCAGACTGTGGAGCAGGACTCAGTTCCCAGGAGGCTGCCACTGCTGCCTTATTAAAGTGGGGTTATTTCACAGACAATCAGAGGTTTGTGAAGGCGCCAGTGAGCGGCCAGATGAAAGGACTGACTCCTCAGGGGAGAAACTGTTGCCTTTTTCTTTTTCTTTTTTTTTGCAGCTCTGTTCAGGATCCCCACCTCCTTCCTCCTCCACCCCCTCCACCTCTCTCTATCCGACCATGCCCGCACGCCCTGCAGGCACCTTGTCAGTCAGTCACATAACTCGTTTTTGGCTGACTGTCAGTGGTGTGTTTCCTCCTCTCCTCTACCTCCTGTCTTCTCCCTCGCAGCCTTTCATGCCAGCTAACTTAAATTTACTCTTTTTCTACTGCATTCATTCTTCTTTCTATTTCACTTTATCTTTTGCCTCCATAAATTCTTTATTCTCAAGTCGTGTTTATGCTCCTCTTGACCCTCTGTCAATCCTTTCTTCCACCCCTTTCTTTCCGTATTCCGTCTTGGCTCGGCTCCTTCATTCTGTCTCCTTCTTTTATTTGCCATATTTGGTCTCACTGTCAAGCATAAGGATCATCTCAGTCAGATTGAAATAGATTATTTTTAAATGAGGCCGCAGTTTCTCACATGAGAAAATCTTTGAAAACTGTGACGGAAAAAAAAATTAGCCTTATGACGATCAGAGTTTTATTAAAGAGGGATGTTTGTCATCATGTCTTTCAACACTGTTGCATCAAGAGAAGTTCCAATGGTAGATATCTCTTGAAAGCACTGGTGTTTAGTCAGTTGTTTGACTTGGAAAGCACAGTGTGGCACAGTGTGTAGTGACAACACATAATGTCAGATGATGTTTTGTTTAGATGCACTTTGAAAGTGTGATTGCAGTGGGACTAAATACCTTCATATCATGTCTAAAAACACTGCATGTCTTGCATGCATGTTGAATAATATTTTAGATATGCAGATAAGGGTGTATCCATGAATCCCAAGAAAATTTAGCAAGAAAAAGTAGAAGGAGGAATAAAGGAAGGAAGGAAGGGAGGAGGAGGAGGGGTAGAAATGAGAGGGGTGCTCTCCTGGGTGTAGCAAAATTACCCACACATCCCACTTCCTTTTTTCCATAATATCATTTAAGCTTGATAATAGCGAAAGCAATTTGTCTGAGCATGTTTGTGTGTGTGTGTGTGTGTGTGTGTGTGTGTACTGTGTGGATATCTGTACAGTATGTGTGTGTGTGTGTGTGACAGAGAAGCTTAAGAAGCCTCTGGTTGTGTGGGTCGGGCACACCTCAGAGCATTGTAATTACAGCAGAAGCTTTGAAGTGGTGGAATGTTCGGTTGGGATAATCAGCAGGCTGGGCTGCGCTCACACACTATTTACATTCCCATTAAAACACTCATTCATGCCATCACACTGGCAAATTTTATTATCTGTGCTGATACAAAACTGGAAAAGTAACATGTTAAAGAGTAAAATGTGGTCAGCGAGAGGAGTGTTTTTGCAGTCGATACAGTATTGTTTGGCACTTTCTCATGCAGTTTTCTTCTTATTCGGAGTTCTTTAAGACCTGAAAACAAACATAAAGAAAAACCTACAAGTGAGCTCATTACTGTAGAATAAATAAAAAAAATCACCCACTGTGGATGCACGGAACAATGGGTTAGTTACACAGTGGGTTTTTTTTTTCCCCCTCGAGTAGTTTATGGGCGCGTTTTGCCTTTATAAAGTGGTGCACAGTGGAGATGTGACAGGAAATGAGTGGGAGGGGGGTTGACATGCAACAAATGTCTTTGACTGAACCAGAGATTAATAGAGCTACAGCTAATGATTATTTGCATTGTCCATTCATTTATTCATTTGTTTTTATTGATTCATGATTTGTTGTTTGTGCTATAAAGTGTCAGAAAAATGGCGTTAGATTTGTTCAAAATGGCATTCTCAACTCGTCCTGTTTTGTTCACAACCCAAAGGTTTGAGTTTGCTGTCATAGAAGGGTATAGCGACTGGAAAATATTTCAAGCAGTTGGAATCAGAGAATATAGATTCTTCTTCCTGTTTACTTTCTGCTGTTTTCACAATCTCACAACTTTTTGTAACTGTATCCCTGCAAGTTCATCAACATGTGGCCCCTTCCAGATTTTGGGATATATCTATTTGTTGAGATTGCATTTTAGTCCTTGGAGGTTTTTAGCAATTACATCTTAAAGAAGCAATTTTTGGGCTACATTTAAGATTGTTGCTATATGGTGTTTTCTAACTTTCTGTATCTTATTGGAAATTGCCATTCAGGACAATGATGTTTTGTGATTTGTGCCTTCCTATAGTATGCAGGGAATGTCATTTGTTATTGGCTGTTGAAGATGACTTTTTCTTCGTGACAAACCATTTGCCTGATGAAGGTCTAGCACCAAAATACAAGTTAGACTGTGTACGGTCGTCTGTTTAAAAAACTAAAAACTCACTGTAGCTGATTAATCAATTATCAAAATACTTTGATTTAATGGTTGCCGGCTAATTGATGAATCAATTAATCATTGCAACTGTAGAAATTGTCCCGGTACAGAGGGTATTCTACATTTTAAACATCATAAAGCCAAATTTGAGATTCAAGACTGTAAGAAGAAAACAGATTTTGGTTGACTTAGATAATGTCTTACACCTTCAGGCCACTTAGACAACCAGTTGTTTATTGGTTTCCCAAAATATTTCTGTAGGAAATGTGTGTAAAATCAAATTTAGAATGCAATTTACAGTGTACTAAACTGTGTTATGCGGTATTTTGGAGTTCTTGGAAAGTTGCTGTCTACTCTAGAGTTCAACCCAAACTGTACTCTCCTTGCAGATAGGAGGGCCTTTGTTGTTAACTGTTCAGCCGCGGTGTAGTTGAAACCATGAGGCATTACAGCCTGGTTAGGTAAAAATCCTGGGAGCCAGGCGGCATCGCATCCCACACGATATCTTCTGAGAAATAATGACCAGACAGGCCCAGAAGATTATTTTCAGACCCCGCCCAGGTCCTCTACCCGGAGAACCTCGTCCTACCCTCAGGCAGACGCTCTACAGTCGCCAAGTGTTGGCTGAATGGTTTAAAGACCTCTTTTGTCCACTTGTCTATCAGAGCTTTAAATAACAAGCTGGTTAAAG